CCTTTTTTGATTTGAAGTCTGTCTTGTCTGTTAATTGTATGGCCATTGTGCTCTGTTTTGGTTTTTGGCATGGAATGTCTTTTTCGATCTTTTCACTTTTTGGTCTTTTTTTTTTTTTTAATACCATTCTACCAGTCTCTGTCTTTTGAGTGGACAACTTAATCCATTTACACTTAAAGGTAATTACTGAGATGTAGGGACTTCTCTTATTTTATTTGCTTTCTGTATGTCTTATACTTTTTTTGTTTTTCATTTCTTGGATTTACTGTCTACTTTGGTGGTTAGTTGTTGTTTTTTGCAGTGAAATATTTTAATTCTCTTCTTATGTCCTTTTCTGTATATTCTATAGCTACTTTCGTTGTGGTTACCACAGTGATTACATTTAAGATCCCGAAGTTACAACACTAATTCACATTGATACCGGGTTAACTTCAATAACATACAAAAACTCTGTTCCTATGTGGTTCTATTGGCACCTCCTTTCAGTTATTGATTTCACAAGATAACTTATTTATACATTGGTTGTTCAAAAACATAAATTGTTTATGTATTAATCTCTTAGGTTATATAGAAAATGTGAAGTTATAAACTGAAGTTACAATATTAGCCTTTTTAAACATTCATGTATTTACCTATACTGAGATCTTTATTTTATCATACAGCTTTGAGCTACTAATGTTCTTTCATATCAACCTGTGAGATTCTCTTTTAGCATTTCTTTTTTTTTTTTTTTTAGTTTTTTTTAATGTTTTATTTATTTCTGAGAGAGAGAGAGAGAACGTGAGCAGGGGAGGATCAGAGAGAGAGGGAGACACAGAATCTGAAACCGGCTCCAGGCTCTGAGCTGGCTGTCAGCACAGAGCCCTACACGGGGCTTGAACCCACGAACTGTGAGATCATGACCTGAGCCAAAGTCGGACACTTAAACAACTGAGCCACCCAGGCACCCCTCTTTCAGCATTTCTGACAGGATAGGTCTAGTGATAACAAACTTCCTCAGCTTTTGTTTATATGTAAATGTCTTAATTCCTCACTCACTTTGAAAGGACAGTTTGCAGGACATCAGCTATTTGTTTCTTTTTTAATCTTTTTCCAGTTTTGCTTTCATTTGTCAGGGTCTGATTTCCTCATTTTCTTATGGGGCTTTTTGAGTCTGGAATAATATCTTTGATCAGTTATGGGGGATTCAAAGCTTTTATCTGTTTAGCTAGAGCTTCTCCTTTCCTCATGGAACTCTGATTGGATGTGTGTTGAATGTTCATACTCTGCCTTGTAGCTTTATTCTTTATTTTCCACATTTTTTACCCTCTTTGCTGCTTTCCTGATTGTTTTTATGATTTATATTTCAGCCTGTTAGTTCTTATGCTATATCTATTTTTCATTAAATCTGTCCTTCAAGATCTTGATTTCAGTTATTTTGGATTTTTTAGTTCTAGTATTTCTTACAGGTTCTTTTTAAAATTTGAAATTTTTTTCTTTAGTGTTTCCAGTTAGTCCTCTTTCAAGCTTGGCTTTTATATCTTGGACACTAAAATATAGTTGTTCTGGATTCTTGTGTTTGATAATTCTAACGTCTGAAATCTTTAGGATCTATTTTTATTGGGGTTTTTTCCTGCTAAATTTTGCTCATGGTGCCCTGTTTTTTTTGTATGCCCAGTTTTGTGTGCTTGATATGTACTTGAAAAATTATGGGAATGATTTGAAAAAGCCTTCCTTTCCTTTTCCAATATATGAATTAGAATTTATCCTGAAAAGTAAATCAGAGCTCAGCATGTATCATCCAGCAGTGTTTATTATCAAAACCTTATTTATACTGTTGAAGTTATACATGAATATGTTGCCTAAAGTTTAGAGAGTTCATACATTCTTCTTCATGCATAATCCATTAAAAGAGTATAAAGCAATATTTTAAAATAACTTAATGTTATCTAATTTTATAATTCTTAACAGGTAAGATTACTTGAATAGTTATTTTTAGCTTTGTGAACTCAGTTCTTTCTAGAAATTTCATTAATATATTTACTGTATTGGGGAAGACTTTTCAGTTATATATTGATTGAGATACAAGGACTTATCTATATAGGGAATGTAGGTAGGCATATTTGTATCCTTACCAGTTTGACTTCCAGGTAGTTGGTACAGTAAGATGTATTAATTTCCTTATTGAATAATTGTCAAAAGCCTCCTAAATGAAGCAGATGAGAAAACTAGAAATGTGAATCCATCAAGGAGATGATCCAAAAGCCAAAGGTTCAAATTCCAGTGGTACAATATTATAGTGTTTTTGAGCTATTATATCAAACCTAGAACTTAGGATAGTTACGTTTATTTAGTAATTCTCCCATCCAAGTACTTACCAGGCCTGACCCTGCTTAGCTTCCGAGATCAGACGAGATTGGGTGCATTCAGGGTGGTATTGCTGTAGACTATTTAGTAATTCTCAATTCTGACTTCATGCTATTATCTTTTGGAGAGTTTTTAGAAATGTATATTGTTGGGGCGCCTAGATGGCTTAATTGGTTAAGCATTTGACTTAGGCTCAGGTTACAATCTCATGGTTCTTGAGTTCAAGCCCTGCTTGCTTTTCTCTCTCTCTCTCTCTCTCTCTCTCTCTCTCCCCCAGCACCTCCTTCCTCGCCCCTCATGTGATATTCTCTCTGTCTCTCTCTGCTCTTGCTCACTTGCGCCCCCCTCCTTAAAAAAAAAAGAAAAGAAAAGGCATATTGTTACCTAGGTTAGCCCCTAGGTAATTCTGTTAAGCAGCTAGGTTTAAGAACTACTCCTTTAGTAGGCCAGTTTGAAATAGACTTTAATGAACTAGGATTGTAGTAACTTTTAAACTATATGTTCCTTTGAGATGTCACAGTCCTAAAAGAGGCAGACTGGGCAATGTGAAACCCTTCATTGACTGGAGCAGTTAATCTGTTTTATATGCTAGGATTCCACTTACCATTTCATTTGTTAAAAGAGTATTCTTGGTTAAAAATTTTGTTTTCTCTTACCTCAAGGGTAAAATGGTTGTTAGATTCTACTTAGTTTTTCAGTAATATGACAGGCTAGATAACTTGAAAGCCCTTTAGAGTCAAAAAAACCTTTTAAATAATATAGATTAATTTGCCAGGAACTAAAGGGAATGCCACAGTGTGAAAACAAAGAAATCTAGAAACCATAGCTGTTTGTTTGAACTGAATTTGGAGGTGCTCTGAAAGAATTTGCAAATGTAGGTAATATATTAATTAGGTTATATTACTAAACAAACCACCCCAAACTTAGTGGCTTAAAACAGGTTTTTTTGTTTTTTGTTTTTTGTTTTTTTTTTTTTTTGTGTGGGTTTTTTTGCTAATACTTCCTTGGTTCAGTAATTTGAGCTAGGCCCAGCTGTTTAGTTCTGATCTTAGCTGGACTCAGTTCATCAGCTGGCTGTCTGGCTATGGGTTGGGTAGCCTTAGCTGGGACAGCTTGTTTCTGCCCCAGGTTGTATGTCATTCTTCAAACACTAATTTTGGGTTAGTCTCATGATAGTAGAACAGGGTTACTAAAGAGAGAGGGAAATAATTCAAAGCCACTTATAAGGCATAATCTCAGATTTAAGACATGGAGAAATAGATTCCCCATCTTGGAATAGCCACAGAAGCCATATTATAAGCATAATGGGTATAGGGAGAGGAATAATTTTGGCTTTTTTTGATAAACAGTATACCATAGAGGGCAAAGGAGTTTGGGACAGGAGATGAGGCCTAAGAGCTGATAGAGGCATTAGTGAGACTGTAGTGAGGCCTGAGAAATCATCTCCTCTCAGTAAAACCACATCATGGAAAGAATTCACAAAGAAATATTTCCTTGCTCACAAGGAGACATTTCTGTCCTTGGTCTCCTTTCTGATTTGAATCTTCTCTGAGAATTTGTAACCCCAGGGTTGCCATAAGGTGTGTTTGGGGGTTGTCAAAGTAGTCCTTGGTTGGTGTATATGTATTAAATTTTACAATGTATAATGGATTTTAAATGAAATAACAGGCTGGCAGACTTTGGCGGGGGGGAGAACTTCTAGAAATGGGATAAAACATAGTCATTGAAATTTAAAATTCAGTAAGTAATTAAAACAGGAGGTTGGACACACTGCTAAAGAGAAAAGTAGTGATTTGAAAAACATCCAGAGAAATTACTCACAAGGGGCATGGGTATAAAAGATTAAGAGACTGGGAGGGATATATTGGGAAGGTACAACATTTGTGTAACAGTGTCAAGGAGAAAATAATTGAATACATGTGAGACAGACAATATTTATAGAAAAGATACTTAAGAATTTGCCAGACTTGATTGAAGCCATAAAACCAAGGCCTGAGCTGGATAATCATCTTTAACTCATCCCTGAACACACAGTGGTGAAACATCAGAGGGAATTGCATAGGTTCACTGAGTAGTGGGTTTTCTTCAGCATCAGATCTGCAGTTTCTTAGGTTTGCTTCTCCTCTGCCACCTCCAGACTTCCAAAGGAGTCTAGGTACATATGTATGTAAGATCAGTTTCTTTAGAAGAAAAAGGAAGCTAAAAAAAAAAGGAAGCTTTGTTTTATTTTATTATACACACACACACACCAATCACAAGATTGGTACTAGATTACTCGCTCAGTTCTTACTGTAAAATTTTTAGGCTAGACTGTTACAGGGAGGGGGAGAACTTGGACAGCCTAGTTAGATGCTACCTCTTGTGCTGAATCATCTTTTATAAGGGATTCCAGTATAGATCTGGGCCTTTTAAAATTTGGACATTTGTGAAAATTTTCTGGGTCATGTTAATGCAGTCTCCGTGTGTGGTACAGAATTTATTCACTATAGAGTAAGACTTTAATATTTTATACAGATAATTTTAGAAGTATAATGGTTTTGTTAATGTATTTTTAAGAAGAAAAATTATATCAGTTAATATTTGCTATTCTTTTCTAAATGTAAATTGTTTGGAAGATAACATCAAGTCTGAGATTTTCTATCATTTTACTCTAGGCAGCACACTTCTGCTTTTGTTCCTTCATCAGGACGAATCTATTCTTTTGGACTTGGTGGTAATGGGCAGCTAGGAACTGGTTCAACAAGCAACAGGAAAAGTCCTTTCACTGTGAAAGGAAATTGGTTTCCTTATAATGGGCAGTGTCCACCAGATATTGGTAAGTTCTGTTATTTTAAAACTTTGCTACATGCATTAAAGTTATTTGTTAAAATGTTGCTCTTAACTGATGAAATTTTCCATGTTTGAATGAAAGAATTATAAGATACATTGTTTAATGAAAATGGCAAGATACAGAACAGTATACATATTTGCTTAGGTTGTTTATTCTTGCTTATGTATGCATAAGGAAACTCGTGATAAAGTAGTAAAAGTGGTATCAGAGGCTTAGGCATATGGGACTTGGGTTGTGGCTAGATGCCAGTGGGAAAGGGTGTTTTTGTTTTTTATTTTTAATTGTAAAATAGACATTATTCAAAATTTACTAACTTAGCCATTTGAGATATACAGTTCAGTAATGGTCATTACATTCACATTGTTGTGCAACCAGTCTCTTTTAATCTTGCAAAACTAGAACTCTATATTCATTAAACAGCCACTCTGCATTTACTCCCCCCACTAGTTAGCAGACCATATTTTACAATATGTCTCTGTATTTGACTTGGCTCTGGGTACATCATGTAAGTGGAATCATATGCTATTTGTCTTTTTGTGACTGGCGATTTCATAAACTTAGCATAATGTCCTTAAGGTTTATCCATGTTGTAGCGTGTGTCAGAATTTCCTTCCTTTTTTAAGGCTGAATAGTGTTTCATTGTATGTATATACTACATTTTGTTTATCTGTTCATTTGTTGATGGACACTTGGATTGTTTCTGCCTTTTGTGACTATTGTGAATCATGCCACCATAAACATGGGTGTACAAGTGTCTCGAAGATCCTGCTTTCAATTTATTTGGGTATATACAGGACTTTAAAATACATAACATTTCATGTTTTTCGGGAATTTGGATCATATGAATATATTACCTATTCATAAATTATTAACATTTTTAAATTTGCAGGGTGCCGGGGTAGCTCAGTCAGTTAAGTGTCAGACTTCAGCTCAACTCATGATTTAATGGTCTGTGAGTTCGAGTCCTGCATTGGGCTCTGTTGCTGAGAGCTCATAGCCTGGAGCCTGCTTCAGAATCTGTGTCTCCTTCTCTCTCTTTGCCCCTCCCCCACTCATACTCTGTCTCTCACAAATGAATAAATGATTTAAAAGATACATAAAATTTTTAAATGGCTTCTATATCCCTATGGCTTTAACCACATCTTTGATTTATTTTTATTATCTGTGATTTTTTTTAGTGAACCTGGTTATTTTTTCATTGGTATTAACTTATTTACTAAATAGTTTGAAATATTTGAATGCTGTTTTCTCATTTACTTTTTTGACATGCTGCAACTAAAATGTGCTTTTTAATTTTTTTGTGAGAGACAGACAGCGCAAGTAGGGGAGGGGCAGGGAGAGAGGGAGACACAGAATCCAAAGCAGGCTGCAGGCTCCAAGTTGTCAGCACAGAGCCGGATGTGGGGCTCGAACACATGAACTACGAGATCATGACCTGAGCTGAAGTTGGATGCTTAGACTGAGCCACCCAGGTGCCCATAAAATGTACTTTTTAAAAATACATATTTCCTTTATCATCCTAAATTCTTTCTCAGCATTTTGTTCTTGTTCATTTTATCTATGCCTGATTTTCTTTGGGATTTTTCTTAGAGTTGTGAGACTTTTGTCTCTTAATATTTTATTCAGTGATGAGCATACTATATAGGTTGATATTTGAAAAGGTCCATAACTTCTTATGAATGGCCTTGAAGATTCGTTATTATTTATTTTTTAGTAACTAAAAGGCTTTTATATAGCAAAGGTCAGGGTATCATACTATCTTTTCTTGTTTTTGTTTGATTTTGTATTTAGTATATGGCTTCATTTTCTTAGGTTTAGGACATGCATTTATTTTAGTAATACTCTTCTTGTGTCCTTAGTGGCATGTTGGTGTTTTATTTTATCAGTTTCTTCCACAAAAGGCCCTGTTAATAACATAATAAAGAGATTTTATAATTTAATGTAGCATGGATATTATAAGGAATCATGTATTTCTGTTTGTATAGTTTAGTCACCTAGGGATGCATTTTGTTATCTTGAAACTATGTACCTTGAGATTATTTGCATTCAAATGGGAAAGGAATGGAATTTTAAAATTAGTGGCTTTGCTGCAACTTAGTTTCATCCAAAAAAAATTGTTGATTCGCAGTAGCCAAAAGGTGCAAACAGCTCAGGTGTCCATCAGCAGATGAATGGATGAAAAAATGTGGCATATGCATATAATTGAATATTAGCCATGAAAAGGAATGGAATGTTGATACATGCTACAACATGGATGAACCTTGCAAATATTATGCTTACTCAAAAGAGCCAGACACAGAAGGACAATATATTAAATGACTCCTCTTATGTAAGGTACCTACAACAGTCACATGTGTAGAGACAGAAAGTAGAATTGTGGTTACCAGGGACTGGGGGAGGGGAGAACAAAGAGTTGTTTAATAAGTGCAGAGTTTCTGATTGGGTTGATAAAAACTTTATGGAAATTAACAATGGTGACAGTTGTACATTTTGAATGTACTTAATGCCACTGAATTGTATACTTTAAATGGTTAAAGTGGTAAGTTTTATTTATATTATATCACAGATTATATATATGTATGTATTGTAATATATATGTATATATATATAATATATATGTAATGTATATATGTATATGTAGTATATATAATGGTTGATAATTTTATGCAATGTACTAAAGTTGTATAGGATAAAAACTAGTTAAATGCGAATTTAATTTGCTCAGCCCCTCCAAAGGTGAAGCCCATGGCCCCCACCATAAATCACATTGTTAGCATAAACTATCTAATGGGGCCTCAAGGTCACAGGTAAGCAAAAACATTGTTAACGGAATATTCCAGACTTTAAGTTTCTTGGAACTTGGCATAGGCCAGGGCAAATCTTTCTTTAGAATGTATTAAGTTTGGACAACTACATTAGTTTGCTAGGGCTGCTGTAACAAAATATCACAAACTGGATATCTTGAACAACATAAATTTATTGACTCAGTTCAGGAGGCTAGAAGTCCAAGATAAAGATGTTGGCAGGGTTACTTTCTTCTGAGGGCTACAAGGAGACTTTGTTCCATGTGTCTTTCCTGACTTCTGGTTTGCTGGCAATCTTTGGCATTTCTGGGCTAGTAGATACCTGCCTTCATCTTCACGTGGCGTTCTCTCTCCTTGTGGATCTGTGTCTATAAATTTTCCCCTTTTATAAGGACATTAGTAATTTTGTATTAGGGGCTCACCATACACAGTATGCCTTGGCTTAGCTAATTGTGTCTGCAATGACTCTATTTCTGAACAAGTCAGATTCTGAGTACTTCAGATTAGGACTTCAACATACGAATTTTGAGGAGACAAATTTCAACCCATGACAATATCCCAAACCTGATAAGTTTTAATCCTTTACTTCACTGGTTTTATCATAGGCAGTGGTTCCATAACTACAGCCAACCTTTCTTCCTTAAAATGACTTGTCATAACTAAATCCAGTTCTCAGATATGCTCTTCAGGTAAGTACTTGGTTGCATGGTTGATTTGTTCAATCAGTTATGAAAAAAATACAAACTATAAGAAGGGAAACAGATTCTTACTGAACCTATACATATAACTATATTACTATTAAAAGAAAGGAGAGATAGTAAGGGTTTGAATTCTCATTGAATTCTGGGAGTCAGCAAGAATCAGATACATATATATATATATTTTTTATCTTATTTTAAGAGAAAGAGAAAGTGGGGTAGGGGCTGAGAGAAGGGGAGAGAGAGAGAATCCCAAGCAGACTCCATGCTGTCAGCGAGTCTGATGCAGAGCTTGAACTCACGGACTGTGAGATGATGACCCAAGCTGAAATTAAGAGTTGGACACTTAAGGAACTGAGCCACCCAGGTGCCCTAAGTATCAGATACAATTTTTTTACATTGACATATATTAATTCCAGTATAAAATATAACGATTTAGTATTTATATATATTGCAAAATGATCACCACAATAATTCTAATTAACATCTGTCACCAAAGCTACATAGTTTCTTATGATCAGAACTTTTAAGATTTACTCTCTTAGCAACTTTCAGTATGTAATAGATTATTATTAATTGTAGTCACCATGTTGTACATTACATCTCCATGACTTATTTTATATCTGAAAATTTGTATCTTTTGATGCTCTTCACCCATTTTGTCCACCCTCCTCCCCCCTTACTTTTAGCAACCACAAATCTGTTCCCTGTATCCCTGAGCTTTTTTAAAAAATTTTTTTAATGTTTATTTTTGAGAGAGAGAGAGAGAATGTGAGCAGGACAAGGGCAGAGAGAGAGAGGGAGACATAGAATGTAAGCAGGCTCCATGCTCTGAGTTGTCAGCACAGAGCCTGATGTGGGGCTTGAACTCACGGACCGTGATGACCTGAGCCGAAGTTAGCCATGTAACGGACTGAGCCATCCAGGGGCCACTGAGCTTTTTTGTTTAAGACTCCACATAGAAGTAAGTGAGATCATATAGTATTTGTCTTTCACTGACTTATTTCACTTAGCCTAATACCCACAAGGTTCATCCTTGTTGTAACAAATGGCAAGATTTCCTTCTTTTTTATGACTGAACAGTATTACATTTGTGTGTGTGTGTGTCTGTGTGTGTGTGTGTGTGTGTGAGAGAGAGAGAGAGAGAGAGAGAGAGAGATACACACATTTTCTTCATTCATCTATCAGTGGGCACTTAGGTTGCTTCCATGTCTTGGCTATTGTAAATAATGCTGCAGTGAACATGGGGGGCACATATATCTTCTCAAGTTTGTTTTTTCATTTCTTTGGGTAAATACACAAAAGTGGAGTTGCTGGATTGTTGGACACTATGAGTCTGGAGTTCTATCTTGACTAGCAAGAGAAGGGATACAGAATTGACTACAAGAGAGGCTAATGTCCATGAGAAGACAAGAGCCCCAAGCAGATGTTTCGTTTCTGTCTTTATTGAGCTCTCAAAATCTTACACATGTGGTGAATAGGA